CTCACAGGAATAATGTTCCTCAATAGGTCAACGTGCTGAGGCTACTAGTACTCCTTTCAGGCTGTTACAGTTTTGGGGATATTCCATTATACCTTACCAGAAATTTCTGTTTTCAGCTACAGATCCAAGAAGTAAAAGTTCTGTTCTTGCTGACACTATGATATCATCTTGAGGTATGATTTGGTGGACAGATTTAACTTCTTTATCATTAATTTGAAATTGACACTTCCATACATGACGTTAACATTTAACTTTCCATCAGTTTCAATTTTATCGCCGTACACAATCGGGAGAGTAAAAAGATAAATATAAATTTAATAACTTAAATTAATGGTAACTAATTAAGTAAGGAAATGAAATATTGGACCTTGTCTTATTTGGGGCTCCGATTGGAATTAGAATTTCCTTCCAAAACTAAGAAACGGCTGAGCTGGGTTCGTGCGGAATTTTTGTCCTGAATATACAGTATAATATACTGTTTTAAAGGACAACAGAAATAAATATCATTCTTTTTGCAGTGCATCCATCTAAAAAGCAAAAATTATTAAAGTCTTTAATGGAAAGAGAGTGCTAATACTAGAAACAATACAAGACTGTGAAAAAAAAATTAACTGAGAAGTGTAGCTTTGGAAACAAAATGAGAAAAAGTCCAACATTTTCTGATTCTTTTAGTATAGTTCTAGCTATCAAGCAGAATGTGAAAAAGTAAAAAAAAATTCTCCTGGATTCGAGAATTGATTTATAAGATGAGAACAAATGTAAGTTCTGTATAAGTAACCATTTTCATCACTCATATTTGGTTACATCCTTCCTGATGTCTGCAAGTGCTCCTTTCCATGGGAAGTCACTAGCATTGGGCATTTTTGAGCTGTTTATCTGAGTATTTCACTGTATTAAGCTCACTGTAGCTTGAAATTCATAGCAAGATAAACAACAATTTCCCTTCTCCATTTTGTTGTTAACCACAAGTAGCTAAAACCATCTATATTCAGTCAACGTGTATGATGGCACGACTACGGGATTTTGGGAAATGAAAAATGTACCCATTTTCAAAGAAACTTTCATGAATTTATTGCATTTCCTGAAGAATAAGGTTTTTATATTATTGGAGGAATTAAGGCAAAAAGGAGCAGCATAATATTCATAAATTTTCATTTCGAATGTCTAAATATAGAACCTCCTTCTTCAGCTGCAAAAGTGCAAATGATAAAAGAGAAGCCTATGCTCAGATGATAACAGTGAGCATTTTTATCCAAGCACAGGTTTCACTTTCAACATTTGAACTTCTGCAGTTGAAAAATAATGTTCTATATTTAAACCTTCAAAACTCGGGTACTGATTCTTGTTGCCTTAACACCCCCAATTTTTATTACTTGGCATGCTATTTTAACGAAGGTTTTAATATGATATGTGGGGGGGGGGGGTTTCTTTCATTAAAAATTTATTACATGTTCTACCATTAGGCACTACATAGCAAGGGAGAGATGCCCTGTGGAAGACTTTTTTAAGGGAACTGGTTCATATCTACATTACACTTGGGGGGAAAACCATGAGAATGCCCATGCAGCCGGACTATGTGCTGGAATCGAGCCCTGGACTAAACTACAAGTGTTCAGCAGCTTTTACTGCTCGGCTGCTGGTGAACTTGCATTTAGAAGTTAGAATCGATTTTTAAGACTTACTTTTGGATAAGTAAAATTTTACTATCTATCAACTTTACAGGATTCCTTAGACATTTGGGAAATATTAAATAAAAGTAGAAACATATCATGATTTTCAATGTTATTGCATTTGCAATATACAGAAACATGAGCAGAAAATATATCAAAATTAAAATTAATGTAATCATAATTCAAAAATTTCCCTTGTATGCTAGGATTTCAGGACAGGTCAATATTCTGCATTCTTCTTGATAGAAAACCGCATAAAACATGGAACAGGATGTATAGAACAAAAAGTAATGTATGTCTTTTTTTAAAACTGTCAGGATATAGTACAGTACAAAATCTTTAATTCGAACGTCCATAATCCGAAATGATCTGTAATCCGGACCTCAAAGCTACAAACTTTCTGCGCATAACATCTTTACGCATGTGTGTTTAATGTATAACAGATGGTATAAGCTAGGCTAAAATTATCTAATTATCTAGTTTAGTTAATGTTGCAGATTGCGTTATTCCTTAATCTTCTAATTGGCTCCGACTTATTATTTTTTGCAGACTGTTAGAGCAATTTTATAAAAAGAAAACTTGAACTTTCGATTATGTCAAAAAGAGTTTCTGATTCTGGAGCTGCCAAAGGATCTACAAAGCAAAAGCATGTTTCGATGTCCATCAAACAAAAAGTGGAATTGCTGCAAAAAATGGATAAAGCCATGAAGAAAGTGACAGAGAGGTTAGTGAAAACGAAAATATTTCGATTGACAAGTTAGTCGGTATTCTCGGCACAGCAATTACAGGACTTGAACAGCGGAACTTTGTAACTGAACTAGAAGTTATGTCTGTTTATAGAATTAAAGAGAAAGTATTAGCACATAAAACGAAGCAACTTAAACAACTTACATCGAAAGAAATATTTAATAAAGTAAACAAATAACTACTAAGCTTCTTTTTTTGTAAATTTTGATACCCTTTAGATCATAATTGCTCTTTATTTCATAAATTACGGTTTCATATTTTTAATTTTATAATTTCTGCATACCATCTTACAAGATTTAAATTGATTATTTGTAATCCGAAAACGCCGAAGTCCCGACGAGTCCGGATTAAAGACTTTGGATTGCATATGGAAAATAACCAAAGTAAAAAAAAAAAAAAAAACTGGAGGACACAAGTAAAGATGAAGAAAAGCTGTGTAATTTTAGACATTACAAATATTTGCTTTGTTCATCACTGTTATCAAGTCCTCGCGACAAATACAATAGTAATATGATGCAGATCAACTGAGATACTTTGCGCTTTCCTCTTGATGTTTTCTTTTAAGCCACCCAGGATAAAGAACTTATTTTGTTGGCTTCTGATCTTTAGATGAGCTTAGAACTAGATATACATCACTGTCAGGTCAAAGAAGCTATAAAAATAGAGAATAGTGCTGATGCAATTTTGGAAATTATCATAAAGTAGTCATCATCCTGCATCAGAATAGTGTTTTTGAAATCATAGTGGGTCTACAATTCTAGAATCATGCACATGGATTTGTTCCATTAGGCAAATATTTTTTTTTATCTCAACTGGGATGTTAACTGCCTCATCAGTAAACCTGTTACAAGTGCTCTGTCATAGGTATTGGCTTGTTGACTTTCTGTTGTATAAAAACTAATATATCTGCCTCTTCCTGTTACACCATTCTAATGCCTTATGCAGTTTTTTTGTCATGCAGTCTTAGGACATTATGAAAATCTGATGCTTGTATTCAAAATTCATGAGATACAGTTATATTAACTGCAATAGAGATATATGTTATACACTTGTTTTTGTATATCTTCAGTGCATTTCACTCAGATTTATCATACAAAAATTGGATTTTCTCACTTTTCTCATGCTTGAGGCCATTGTTATGGGTAAATTCTTTTATGGCTACCCCCCTGTATTTTAAAATCATTTCATTTTTCATATTATTTCCATTTAAAAGTGATTTTTTGAATTTCTTGTTCAGTATCACATAAACTCACCTATGTTGTTACTTATCTTGTACTTCATGAGTCATCTTTTATGCGAAGTTGGAAGGTTCCATTGTTTTCCTCCTGTGTAATGTGAATATGAGTCTGTTTCTTAAAAAGTCCCCCAGGAAGGCATTCCTCCACATAAGAGGTTTTCGAGGGCTTTGCCATAATCTAAATAATCCATTTCATGCATGCAATGAGCCAGACATCAGTCCAGCTTTGACTCAGGGCATTCTAGAGGCATCCTAGAAACATTATAGGTGCCACCAGGTGCTGATATGTGCCAAGGGAGGGTCTAACCATATATATTGCAAATGACAGCTACAAGCCTATGAGTTGGTAGGATAAAATGCATCTTTTTTAGCATCCTGTAAATTTTTTATACAGTTAAGGTAAGGACAGTTAGGAGGCCAATTTATGTATTGTATTTCTATGGAATGTTTCTGCAATCAATTAAATGCAGTTCTACCATGGTAACATTGTGCATTGTTGTTCTGAAAAATAACAGACAGAAATTTGATAGAAATTTTGGATCATGTATTTATTACAAAGCGGATGTCACACTGCCATTCATAAGCAGTAATAATCCCACTTCATGCCAGCAAAAGCTTCCTCATGTCATGCAGCCATGAACTACAAACTCATAGTATACTTATCATGCACAAAGGGTATGTAGCTTGATGTTGTTGGTGCCAAACATGCACAGCCTGTCAATATAATAAAACATAATTATTCATTAATCCAACACACCTTTATTCAATCCTCATCAGTTCAATCAATATAATTTCAGGCAAGACAAAATTGGTGATTATATTCATTTAAGAGTACTTGATAAGATAAGCATCTGCTCCATCATGCATACTAGGGTATACCAGGTAGTTGTATGAGATATGGCTGGGACACATCAACAATTGAATGTTATTCATAATTTTTGAATGGTGATGCTGTATTTTCTGTTGCTGTATTAGACTTTTTATTTTACTCTCACCCCATTATGTATCTTTTATGCACCTTTGCATTTATGCCTGTTGGTGGTCATTGTCCTACTTTTTTGCTGCATCCTATAAACATCTACTGTTCTAGAATAGGCTCATCCAACTAGTTTTGCCATATGGATTATTGAGGTCTGTTATATTTTAAGTACCTATAATCAGGCCTTTTTAGAAGTGAATTGTGGCCATTGATAATATCAGTTGCAGGAGCCATCCATTGTATTTTGAAGAGGTGACTGTGAATCATTGGGATGAAACGCTAACATTTTTAAAGGAAAAATATCACTTTTGTTCTAAATACTTAATGACAATTTTAGAATTGATCCTTAATAATTTTTATTTTGCAGATTTGAATCTGATGGTAAGAAATATGTGAAATATGAAGTTATTGGTTCAAATAATGTAGCAGTGCCAACTCATTTTTTCAAAGTAATTGTAGGTGAAACAGAAAATCATGAATTTGATATGGAAGCTTATCTCATGCCAAATGCTCCTATTGAAGATCAAGTGCCTCTGAAAGCTTTTCAAGTAAGTTCAAATGCAACTGAATAGATAGTAACAAAATTTAATGTTCTGTATGTTGAGTCATTTAATTTTCTTACAATTAAAATTTTAGTAGCTTTTAAAATTATGTAAAATGCAGTGAATTTTAATAATTTCTGTGAAATTTTTGAGAAATCATTGATCATCATAGAATGGGCTATTAACATATGTAAAATTAGTTTTGTTATTACATATATATACTGGTTTGATAAAGGATTTATATGAATGTTTGAGGTAATAACAAATAAGGCGATATATAATTTGCTAACTAATTTTACCCAAACTAGACGGAACTGGAAGGCAACATTTAGCAAATCAGCATATAATTAATGTAGGATACATTAGCATGTCTTAAAAAACTCTACATTCAGAATTCTTTGGGATTAAAAGTATTGTTCTGAGTTTGAGAGAAGAAAGTTTAATGTCTTAGAGATTGTGGATTATGGTTCCAGAAAACAAGTATTTGTTACGATGTATTTTTTTGAATGCCAGTATACATCAAATCATAGTAATAAGAATATGGAATTGGTGGATGGAGGAGAGGATGAATAGACCAAAGTGAATGATTTCACCAGCCTCAACCCACCACCAGATAAAATGACAAGCATATTGTGTATATGGTAATGATAGATCATACATCATCATCTAGAGCTCTACCATAAGATTTAGAGTCTATTGCACAACAATCTCTATTTGTACATACTATTCTATGTTTTTTGCAAAGGAAAGTATGTTGACAAGGTGTCCATTATTGCAATTACCAGCTGCAGTAGTGTATTAAATGAACATAGATTGCATATCCCAAGCATACATATAAAGCACTTTTTTTCAGTGATAATCCATTTTGTAGCAGTTGTTGCCAGCCTTAGTAGCTAGAAAAAATCCTGATTATTCTGTATACCACAAGCTGAACAGGACTATAATTTTTAACTAGTTCACTCTTCATATTTTTTTTTACAGTAAATATGGATTTGCTATCTCTTGTTCTTTATGCTGTTGCATTTCAAATGATCATTGGTGTAATTTAAATAAACTTCTTACATTTTAAATTACATTACATTTCTTAATCCATTTTAATACTGTTGAAAAATCAGTGGGATCATACACCTTTCCTATGAGTAGTTGAATGTTCTCTAATATTCTTTTTGTTAGTTACTCACATAGAAATGACTCACGAAGTTTGAAACAAGGAATGTTACTTGACTTCTAACGTGAAACATGAGACTTGCTGCTTAGAAGATGTATTGAACATACATTTGAAGATGACATGCATTTACATAAATTGCAGCATCATGATTCTTTTGGACTAGCATCGCAGAGTGCTATTATTTCTATTTGCTATATTCCATTGGCTAGGACAAATCTAGTGATACGATAATCATTGACTCTTCTAAGACTAAAACTCCTTCCATTCCAAGTCATTTTTAATTAGGGAGCTTGGAACAGAAAGCTTCCATTCCATTTTTAGCTTGAAACAGAAACTCCTTCTATTCCAAGTCATTTTTAGTGAGAGGTGTATTCCAGTTTATTTTCAAGAGCCAAAGGTGTTTTTGTAAATATTTTTAGCTTTTGCCGTATCTAGGTCTAATTAAACCTAATGGATCAAAGAGGTGACCTATTGCTGATAAGACCTGTTTTTTTCACTGTCTCATCAATGTCAGGTGTATTTAAATTGTAAGAAAAACTATCTGTACTGTATTCCATAGCATTCCCAAGGCCTTTGTAAACATGAAGCTTATCAGTAACTTGAAAGAATAATCCAGCTGCACTTTCTTTGTTCTTCATTAGTTCAGTATTATTTTAACACCATTTGTGCAACTGCATCCACCGCATTCTAGGAGACAATTAACTGTGTCTACAACTCCCTGCCTTCTTGTAGTGCATCAGCTGCACTGTTAATGTCATTTACATAACAATCTTTCAGTATGGCTGTTGAGGCACAAGGAAATTTTGTCACTTCATCCGTTGCTGATTCAGGACTCTTGTTGGAAGGAATGATGCACCTGCTGTTCTGTATGTCAAAGTCTTCAAACAATAAGTCTGCATAGATTTACTAGTCAATTCTTTCCATAATATCAACTGCAGGTTTCTTTGGAAATGGTTTAATAAATATTTGTCTATACATTTTCTGAACATCAAGCTCTTAGTGCATGATTGTACTTTCAAAATCTAATAATAATAGGAAATAAATCTTCTAGTATTCCTTCTTTCATTAATACTGAATTAAGTGATTTTCCATCACTAGTAGCCGCTGATCCATTAAATACAATGGACATCTTGGAGGAGACTTTCTCCAGACAATAAACTCCATGATGATCATGATAATTGCAAGTCTATGTTTCAATTTCTTTTAACTTCTTCCATGTAATTTAAATCCTAGGTAAAATTTTGTACACAAGGTTTTTGCTTTCTAGTCAATTCTGCACTTGATGTAATCTTTTCTTAGCAAGCATTTTCGATTCTCCTAACTCCACACCTTACTCTAATGAGTAATTGAACTACATATTTTTCATAATTTTGTCAATAGTGAGTACACTTGAAATACTCTTCACAGTACGTTTCTTCTTCTGTCAAAATATCCTTGATATCTCCAGTGTAACTTTCCAAAATCTTTGTAAAATTTTGTCAAGTTCTTGACTATTCAGAACTAAGCTAGAATAATTTACTGCTGAGTTACTCTGGCATGAAGCAGATGCGATATATCCTGAAACTGTTTCTTGGAATATGACTGGCTGATTTTCTAATTGAAATTTTCTGAATTTTAAAAGCTCAAAGAACAATTTGGCCCCTGGAAACATGTCTGCTTTGTTAGGAATTCCAAACTGTGGGTCAGCTAATTGAATGTCAGTAGGAATATTTAATGACTGAATGTCTAAACTCCTTGCTGGGGTTACAGTGATACTTTTAGAAATCAACAAAAGGTTAATTGATCATACATATGTTAAATCCTTATTTAAAGTCCATATATCTGATTAATAAATAATAACTAAGACATAATAACACGCCGAATAAATACTAATTCAGAAGTCAAACAATAAAATCATGGTGGTTCGGTAAAACCATCAAAACTAGTCCTGTGAAAATTTTGTAAATATAATGCTAATTTTTGTTGTTTGACTTCTGAATTGATAAATAATATTTATGTATAATGTTCTAATTTATTCCTGATACGGGTGCGTAAATTCTTTCTTTCTGTATATTTAACAAATTGCCAACTCTTTGTGTTAGAAAATAGGTCCTGATGTTAAGTTGCGAAAATAAAGGTTAAGACCCAGTTAAACCGAATAATATCCAATCTAGTTTCTTATCGAGAGAGAAAAAGGGTGGTGAATAAATTCTAGGTTTCAATATTGAAGTAATAATTAATCTTAAAGTTGTGTTCCAAAAACTGCCAGCTTAGCAATATCTTGCCAAATGTCAAAGTTTTTTCACATAGTCATATTCTGTGTATTACTAAATGTGGTCATTGGAATTATTTATTTGCAAAACTGCATGTTTAATAATTTTTGTCAGTGTACATTTTGAATAACACTTTATCAATTTTGAGGGCCATCAGACATGGATCCTTTTTCTTCAGAAGCAAAGAAAACTTTGGTTGAGATGGGAGAAGTAACTACCAGCTGCCATTGTCCAGAATGGCAATAGCTAAATTCTTTTTCCTTCTGAATTACAAACATATACTATTGCAGTCACTAATAACACATTTTTTCTGTGTCAAAACACAACTTGATTGATTTTTATGAGAACCATCTGCATTCCTGTGTATAATCTCAGCATTCATGTTTCGTTTTTTGTTTTGTCGGAGTAGAGGATGGATTAATGAATGATGCTTTTTATGGGGTTTGGAACATAAGAACTTAGAATTACATTTTGCCATTAAATGTTGCAGTTTTAAGAGTTTAAATACAATTTATTGTTTTTACTATTCCATATCTTTGTTTTGGATTTAATTTTTAAAATGGGTCACATTTACATAGTGGATTATTATTCTATTGTTATGCATCATACAAGTTAGAGTTGTATCAATTTTAACCAGCAGAACCTCTGATTTTAACTTTTTTGTAACACATATTTAACATTACTAGTATTATAGTTAATGTTTTCTAATAATTGACATCTTTTCTCTAAAAACGAAATTAATTTATCAAATGTAAGAAATTCTGTAGCATTAAAGTTTAGTTCAAATTATTTGCGTACTTCATAATCGACCTTCTAGAAAACAATATTTAATAACGGAATACCTGTTAAATTATTTTTCTCATACTTCAAATCATTCAAAACTTTTACGTTCATAGTAACTTTTCTATTTCATGTCTTATCCCCTTTGACAATTTGAAAGTTAAATTCCATATCCCAATTAAGATTCTTTTATTTTCTTGAAGAGTTTTAAGTCAAAAAATGAAAGTATCAAGTAATGTTTTCAAAACTTTTTGCTTCATCAATTAATGCAATCTTTAAATTTTTATAGTTTCTAAACTTCTGTTAACTGAGCATTATTTGCAATAATGTTTTCGAATTGCAACTTGAAATTATTCCATTCAATATATTTACCAGAAAATTTAGGAGTTTGTTAATCTGACAGATGTATTTGTACTTTAGAATTAAATTTACTACATTCACTTTCATGTTCAGAATGTACAATAGGTGATAGTATTTCCATAATTCTTACCTCCAAAACTTCCAGTCTTTCTTCCATTTCAGTGATTTCTTCATCAATGACTGACCTTTTTTTTTTCCCCAAAAACTTTTGAAATATCTGTTTCTTAAGTTTCTGATGTTTGTTTGAATACTTTGAAGGAATCTATACTTTATTGGAACTTCTTTTTGTTTACACTGTCATATTCTTCATCACGTTTTCTAATTGCGTTAGTTTTGCTTTTAATGCTCTTTTACTTCTGTCTAATAACCAGCTTGCGGTTAAACTTGGGAGTTACCAATCAACTATTAGAATAAGAAAGGCATCCATATTGACTGAAGTGCATGTTCTCATCGCATCTGCAGTCAACTAGTAAAATGCATGTTTACTTGCTAATTGAGAAATGTCTTTATTTGTATTAAGGCAGCAGCACTTCAATGCAGCTAGTAAAAGTTGTGTTCTCATGAAAAATGTATGCATTGAGACAGCAGCCCTCAAATGCAAATCACATCAGTACTTAAGGAACAAATTTCAACACTATTAATTACAACTGCTTGAAAAGCAAGGCACCTAAAACAAGTTCAGATTCGCCATTGACAGTGTGCTTAAGACTGCTGAGTATTGGGAGTTCACTCAAGGCAAATTGGCTAGCCGCATGTTTGATTTCTCCCATGTTTAACATATATGTGCTCATTTCACTTAGAAAGACTTCTACAAAAGCATCTCTTTCTTTAGGTAGATAGCCCTTGTATTCTTTACCACATTCAAGAAACCTAACATAAAACAAGTCCAGTGAGGGGTTCTTGCATTGAATCTTTCAGTTTTGTGTTCCATTCATTATCATAACAGTTCAAGAATGTCAGTGCAAGACATTTTTATTTAAGGTTGTAGAAAAATTGCTGGCTATAGAATGAACTTGCATAATCCTTAAAGCAATGGTTTCAATGAGGAATTTCACTTTCTACTGAAAGCTGTACCAAATTGAGAAATATACAGCAATCCTTTTAACTACCTTTTTATTTCCCTCCTGCTCAGTTTTAGAAAATCATTAATTATATTCAGATTGACACTTACTGTTTATGTTTTACTTATTTACACTTACTGTTTATGTATTTTGTGTCTTTTTTTTTTTTTATACATCATGTATAGATGCTAATCTGATAGATTACACAGAATGGTTTGTAAACCATATAAAGCACCTTAAACCCAAGCTATGTGAAAAAAATTAATTTTTATTCATAAAAATTTTAAAACATATTTCTGTATGTTTGGGCAGTGTCCTTCTATTTTAACTGACTGAAAATTGTTCTTTTAAAGTGTTGAAACATGACATAAATGTATTTAAACTACCCATCTATGGAAAAGCAGTGTCAGTATCTGTAGACTACGTGAAGTTTGCATACTTGCTCATCTTGTACTTCAAAAGGTACAGATGTAAATCATGCCAGTCAAAATATTTGTTAAATTTTTTTCAATAGGCATGTACGTTTCTTTGTTGTTATATATCATTGCTATGACACTAAATGGAGAATATACAGTTACCTATATGAAGGTAAGAAACTTGAATCCTTTTCTGTAAATAAACCGCTACTTAGTGTCTTAAATGTTGACATGATATTTAACTAGATGGCAAACTTACATATAACTTCAGAAAAGGAATCATTATTTCATTAAATACTTAGTAAATAATAAATAGAATGCATAAAGAGAGACAAATATAGGATATTTTTTACCAAATTAATTTCAGGCTACTGCTACAAAAGAGGCATAAACGTGCCAGTTTCATTTAACTTTGCAGAAAACATTTTTGTTTTTTCATGCAGTTGATGCCACATGCTGGAGATTATCTTACATTGCTTCTCAGCTTGTTAATAATTTTCACATCAAGATTCACATCACATCCCATGTCAAGATTGATAAAGTTGTATTTGTTATTAACTTTTGGTTGTTCATATTTGGAACCTACCCATTTAAATGCTTTATATCCTTTCCAACTATCAGAGTAACTTTAGGTTAAAGACAACATTCTCTGGAAATCCAGTCTTTGAAGTGTATTCACAAAAATGCAAATATAAGAGGTTTTTACAGTAGTGCAAATCTTTCCTTCTTTCCAAGATACAAAGAGTTGCATTTGTGGAATGTTATTTTCATTATCTTTTTCTCTGAAGTCCATGTTTATCCATTAGAATACAGATGCTGCTCTGTTTATGAACTTTTGTAGATACTAACAAACTTATTCTCAAAAATTGAAATTTGTTAAAAATCAAAAATAAAATAAACAAATGGGTCATAGCAAATGTGGCAGTTTTAAAAAATATACATGCCATACATACTTCCACTTACATACACTTAAAAATGTTGATGAAGAATCTAATATAACTTCACAATATGTATGGGGAGTTGTAACAAATGTAAACATGAAGAGCATTTGGAAAAGTATGTGCTCCTTTCTTGTTCGTGATTATCATGGCTTTAATCAAGATGATGAAAGAAAAAAAATTTTGTGAGTTTCATCGATATTAGTAGGCAACTAGACTTAAACTTGTAGAAGGAAGATTGCAAAGGACTGCTCTATTCACATGTAAAAGAAATGTCTAACAAAGACTTGATGCATTTCAAAGAGTAACTGACAGAGTCTTCCCAATTAAAAAGCTCAATGCAAAAATAATGACAGTAACCTTTTCCAGATTCAATGAAGGGCTCACTGTTTTGGAAAGCCAGTATTCAAATTTGAGAGGTTTCTGAAGCAAAATCTGCTGTGCATGATGCCATACAGTGCTATCTTCTTATTTATAATAAAAGAAAAAAAAACTATGCAGACAAGTTTTAGACACTTATTTTCTGAAGAAAGGTACCCCAGAAATTGGTTTTATTATAGCATGCTAATTCCTTCTTGTTCTCATACAGTCTCCTCATCACTGATGTTCCCTTTACTTATTATTGAGTCTTTGGTCCAGTCACTCGTCTTCATGCATGTAAAAATCTAGTATAGTTTCATTTTCACCCCATCCACACATGCATGCCTCAAAGACAACAATCCAAGGCAGTGTATTCAAATAGCAAAATAATCTTTATTTATTCATAACTTTGTATTTATAGTGTCCTTTACTTAAAGTTTTAAATGTATACTTATTTGTTTTAGTGTTTTTATTGTTTATTTGATGGTATTTATAGCTGTTATCTCATAGCAAGCCTACTGACATTCAAGTAAATCAATTTAGTAGTTTCAAACTTATTTGGAATAATGGTTATACTTGTAGGTATACCATAGATTTTAAATTGTAGGTGTTGAAATATGTTATGTGAATTGTGTCCAATGCATAACAAAAGAGTTTTCAGTTGAACCAAATCTGATTAGATATTAGAGGAAACTCAAAAGTTTGCTGGCAATGATTTAAAAAATGAGAGCTATTTGTGAGCTCAAAAAATTGAAAGCATCGGAATGTTTCTCAGGAATTATACATGAAATAGGAATCACTGTAAAATGACAGTAATAATAATAATAATAGCATAAAATAGTATTTACATGAGTGGCTAATAATAGTTAATGCATATATTTATGTACTCATTTTAATTATATAACTTCATTCTTTCCCTTCCTCCAAAAACTGTATGCATTGTATAATTTTAACTGAGTTTTAAAAAGTTATCAAATGAATTATGATACTAGTACTTGCACTTTACGAAAATTTTATTTGGCAGCATCATTAAGCCAATTTGTTATGAAATAAGGTGAATGTGGTAAAATGATCTATTATTATCAAATAGTTTATATACTAAAAAGGATTTCTCATTCCCTTACATAATAAAGAAAAAGATGTATAAGAAAAACTGTGGCCGAATAATTTTTCAATCTAGTTATAACAAGAGCTGTAAATGCTAAAATGTTAATCTACACATTGGTATAGAAGAACTTTTATATCTGCATCTGAATTTTTGTTGCATTTCTGTTTCTGTAGTAAAAAAAGTTCATTCTTTTATAGTATTTTGTACAAATATCTTGTGTGGTGTTTTTTTATGACAAAGTAGATGATGATATTTTATGATATTTAGAGCACTATAATGTAGGAAATGCTTTAACTATCACTTTTCTTTTTTCTCAGGTTCCTAAAGATGTAATAGAAAGAGCTGCAGGTTTACTATTTTTTGAGAAACTTAGTCCGACAGTTTTTCGCCACATAAATGGAAAAAGAGTGACTAATAAATAGTTTTGTATAATCAAGATATATATGGTTTTATATGGCAAGAATGTGTGATTAAAAAATTTAAAAAAAGTTTATTTATTTAACTTATGCATATCATATTTATAAATATTTAATGGAGCTTACTCAATCTTTCTCTTGTATCATGCACAGATAATTTAGCAATTTATGAAGAATGAAATACTTTAATTATTTATAATTTGCATAATTTCTGCATATAAATTTTTAATTTAAATTTTTGTACATGTGAGATTTAATGCAATTAAGTATAAAAACATTAATTTTAACATTTGGTGATGTGTAGTAATATTGTAAGTTATTAAGCTGTTTGCAAAATTGAGTGCATATTCTGATTTGCTAAAAGGAACAAGCATAAAAAAGTTTTGCACATTATTTTTAAACTCATAGTTTTGCTTTGTAAATACATGTTTTCATATTTTTATATAGTTAAAAAAATGTGTAGTGTGTGTAGGTGTTGCAGTCAAGCATTGTTAAAATGTGTATTTTAATATGATTTTTTTTTTTTTTTTTTGATAAATTTGTTTTAATTTACATTATATAACTAACTGCAGTTCTTGATTATATAATGTAATCATTTGAAAATCATGACTATTCTTAACTGGATGTGAATAATATTTCAACGAAGTTGTGAATCTTTTTTTTTTTTTTTTTTTTTTTATTCTTAATGAAGTTTTGATATTATTAGAAAAAAAGCAGACTTATCTTTTGATGCATAATTTATGTTAAAAACGAATTTTGTGTCCATTATACTAGAGTTTAAAAAAAGCATATATGAAGGAAAAATACATATATTTAAAGCTGCCAAATTAGTCTTCAGATTTCTCTGCCTTCCAGTCCATTTTTAAAATGACCGTAAGGGATCCATCTTCTGTCTTCAATAAATCAACAACCTGTCATTATTTTGTACGTTAATAAATAAACAAATATATAATAGCTCTAATTCAATTACAGTGTTTAAGTGATTTTTAATTTGGTTGAATTAATTTTTTTTTTCCATGAACGTTTTTTAAATTCACCTACTGTCCAAATGATTAATTTTATCGTTTCTGGCCCTCCAAACTTTTTTAAAATAAAAATTTAGTTATCTATGAAATACTTGTGAATTATTGCAGTCATATAATTTTTCTAATAACTGAATAATTTTATAACTTTTCTAAATAACTAAATGATCTTATTTAAATCCTGTTATTATGATGTTCTTAAACTGTTGCTAAATGCTAAATTTCTTTAAACCTATCTGCTTATAGATACTATAATAAACTATACATTTATTTTTTATTATTTGTCCTGTAATGTATTATAGAAATTTACATTTAATCTCAAGGTTACTATGTATTTAGTTAATTGTATTCCTTTGATATATACTGAAATCTGATAAATTAAGATTTCTTGAAGTCAGCATTTCCTGTTAAGTTATCCAGTTAGAGGGAAATTAAAGGAATCGCTTCTAGCAGTTTTAATTATTTAAAAATAAATATATTATTTAATTTTTTAAACTTTAACTCTCTGAGCGGCACAGGATTTTAGATCCATCATGAAAACCGGTATTTAAACAGAGCATTTATTAATTATTTATTAATATTATGAATTTGTATAATTATTTATTTTAGTCTATCTTTTCATAAACTTATATTCATTAAGATGTTATTTACATTATTAAAGAAAGTAAGAAAAAAGAATATCTTAAATTGTAAGCCAATATATGTCAAGTAGCAGAACTTCTTGTGACCAGATAAAGCCAGTCATAACACTCGGAGGGTTAATATAAGTAGTTTTGTACATTATTTTTTTTTTATTTATATTTAATTTCATAGTGAATCAATGCTTACTATGGTGCATAAATATGTCTGAACTTTTTGCCACGATAATATATGAGGATTACCACATTTGTTTAGGCATCTAAAAATAAAAGCTTAAAAAAAGAATTTAGTTTATGTGTCATACCTGCACAATAGTAAATTTTCTGTTTATTAGATGTTGTATTATAATCTGGAAGTAATTATTGTGAATTTAGCTCTCAATTTTTTTTTCACTTTGCTAAATATTGCATATTGTTGTTATTTTTATGTTTTAAATCCAGAATTATAAATTTAATTTTTTATATAATAGGCTTTTGATTTCTTTTCTTGAAGACCCAAAAGCTTTCACCTGAATTTATTTAATTAACTTAATGAATTTATATTAATTTATGCAAAATATTTAAGGAAAGAAAATTTATTCTTTAAAACTGTAATTCCATATATTAAGTAGTATGTTTATTTAACTATTGAATTCATCAATTCTGTGTCTGTTATAATTTGGTAAAAATTCAAAATATGTTTTATTTAATTCAGAAGTCAAACAACAAAAATCAGCATTATATTTTCAAATTTTCACAGAACTAGTTTTGATGGTTTTACCGAACCACCATCCTCAGCTGCGAGTCCTGTGAAAACTTGAAAATATAACGCTGATTTTTGTTATTTGACTTCTGAATTAGTATTTGTTCGGCCTGTTATTTTGTCTTAATTATGTTTTATGTATTTGAATATATTTTAATTTTTCTTGAAAATAATTCCTGCTTTAAAATATGAAAGGGAATTAAAAAAGGAAAAGTCTGATGAGAAAGGTACAAATATCCATTAAAAATTTTGTCAGTCACTGAAAAGTAAAATCAACTGATAAGAACGAGATAGCAATTATTGTAGTTGCAATAGTTGAAAAGTATCTCAGTTATTTTTGTCATTGGAAATGTCAATATTGGAATGCATTATAATTATCTAATAATAAATCGGTTTTCTGTTTTAGAGCCTCTAAAAACCTTCATAATCTATGCAGTCTTTGTGTTAGTTCCATGTTAGAGGAAAATGAAATGAGTTTTCTGTTAAAAAATTTATATTGCTATGAAATAATCATGCATTTTAGAATCCTAAAGTTAATGGGGTACTTACATAGTTCGCAAAGACTCTTAAAAAAGTATTTCTCTTCCTTAACTGCTAATAATTTCTGAAATCCTTTTATCAGTTAAAATATTTCCTAAATTTGCATTTTTGTAAGCAGGCTTATGCATCTAATTATAAAGCACTTTGCTAGTTATGAAGTAAATCATTGTAATTTTGAATCATTTGCTATTTATCATTTGCTAATAATTACTATTAGTATTATTTATCATTTGCTAATCATTTTTATTAGAGAATTTTTTGATCTACCAACAGTTTAAGCTTTTTTTTTCCTTAGTCCAAATGGGCAATTTGCCCTGAAGGACTATTAATTTATTAATTTCGTTTTGACATTTTGCGTCGAAAACTTGAAAAGGCTGTATCACTTTTCAAATCGTTGCCACCATATATTCTCGCCCTGTCTTATATTTAAAGAAATTAAGTAATGAAGAAACTGCATAAATGTGTGCATGTTTCTCACATTGTGATAAAATAATGGGACCTAGAGCCATCAAAATTTGAATAATGCAATCTTCTGTAAAATATGGGCATGTGGAAGCCCTAATTTGAATTTGAAATTTTTTTGTTTTAGTATCGATTTCAGATTTTGTAACACTTCAACGAATTTTCGATTAAAAAAAAAAGATTTCAAAGCAAACAATGGCAACACTGTATGAAAAAAAAAAAAAAAAAAAAAAAAAGATTTTTATCTTCAGTCCATGAGACTCTGTATCAGAAATTCTAAATATATGCTGATTTTAAAATTAATTTAGGATATTGCTGTTGAACTGAATTTTGTAGTTTGAGCACGTAGAATATTTAATAAATAAAGGTAACACACAAAACGTTAAAAAAAATGCTCCTTTGGACATAATTTAAAATCTGAAACATTTCAAATTTAAATTTTTTTTTCTCTTTGTGTATTCTTTGAATTTTTAATTACAGTGGCTACAGCTTTATTTGGCACAGTTGCTTTAATTTATATGTTAGAAGGAAGTTGTTATTTATTTAGCTGCTCTAAGCTGATGTGCAAATTTGATCAAATAAAAGTATTTTTGCTGAAGGTAAGGTTGTCTGACCGGTGCATAATAATCTTTGAAGTTATGTACCACAAACTTACCAACCAAACCAAGCTTCTAAATTATTAAGTATAAAAATAATATTTAAGGTTACTGACAAAAAATGATCAATTATATTTGTTAATTATTTATTAATTTGTCATGTATTTTTGTCCATTGTTGTGATACGTTTTACTATATGTCAATCAACATTACACTTCCCGTATCTGATGTGTCATGCAATGAGAAAGTAAGTCTCTGGTTATATACTTAAAATGTGTATTTTATATTGACATTTTTACATTATTTAATATTAAAAACATTTCATTGTTCATTAATTAATAATAGTATGAATTTGTGTACTTAATTTTATATAAATTTATTCCAATTAATTAAAAGAGTTCTGAAATTTATTGCATGTTTGTGAAATATATTTTGTTATTGTTTTTTGTTGTGTTTGTTTGTTATTTTACATGATAGTGATATCATGTAAAATTATTATATAAATTTTTTAAATTTTTGCTCTGAATGGCTTCATAGGTGAAAATATATCAGAATATAAATAGAGGTATGAAAATGATTTGAAAAGTCTGGTTAGATGATAAATAATATAGTCTTTTTAGCGCAGCTGATAATTCTTCCTTTCATAAAGTTGATCATTTCTTCATTCCAGTAAGAGATGATCGAATTCTTTCTTTGTGTCAGTTAATCAATGTAATTTGAAACACAGTCTGAAAATTTTCCAGATTATTACTCAGATTAACTGATTTTAAACTCAAAGAAATGTAACAGTTGTTAATAAGGAATTTCATTGAAAAATTAATCATTTAAACATATAATTTAATGTCTAATTTCATCTCGGGCATTTTAAGCTAAGTTTGGTTTAGGTTTTGCACAAAATATTCTTAGATTATCTGTGTTGAGCACAAGTCTTAACTTGAAAAGTATTTTTGTATTTGATGTAATACATCTAACATTCAGGTTTAAAACAAGGCTTAAAAGTAGTAAAACAAATATGATGAAACAAATGCGATGATAAAAGTAACACTGATGCCACAATAAAAGTAAAATACTGACTAAATAATGTACACTATGTGTTAGATTGTCTAGGAATTCTTGCGGGAACAAAGTATGTTCATGATGAATACTTCCTTGAAGCTTCTGGAAGTCGTTAGATGGGGGTTGCAGTGATGCAAATTCGTTTCTTGGCGCATCTCGCACATATTCTGTCGTCGGCTGTAATCTGGAGAATAATGCGGGTCCCTCCTTGTGGTGTGTTCGTTTGCCATCAAAATAATCGGTCACTAGTGCAGAGTCGGTTATCATCCATTAGGATTAAGGTATTACCGATTGCATCCCTAAACACCCTGATATAAAAAAATAAAAAAAAACTCATCTCATTCAGCGTTAACTGTCTAGTCGGAAATGTATGCCCCGTTGGATTTATCGATCTATGCATTACTGTGGTATTCAAAAAAAAAAAAAAAAAAGCTTGGTGCTTTAGTCTATCCGATTTTGTATTACCTTCTAACTGTTGTCTTCTAATTCTACCCTACCGTTGCTGTTACTTCCTTTCGCAGTATGACGCAAAAATCAATTGTCTGTTCCTAAGCCTGTAATTAAGCCTTTTATAAATTCAGAGTTTTAATGAAATCTTTATGATATTGCAAAGCCATTCTCAATCTTTAACTTTTATCCTGACATAGAAGAAAAAGAAAAATGTATGTTAATCCAGATGAACAATGATGACAAACAAATGGCCCCAAATTTCAATGTAAAAATTAACTAAAAAATGCATGAAATTCATTGCCGACTGCTGCTTGGTTGAAACTTGATCCAACTTAATTAACACACTTTTGTTGCTGATGATACTTGCAGTAAAAATTGGAGTATTGCATCGCGGTAAGGGGGGGGAATTGCGAGTCTCGAAATTTTTTTTTTTACTCCCCTCCAGCAGAACGAAGTAAAAGGTACTCGTTCACGACGTTAAAACATGTAGAGGTGTCTAAATTCAGGCTGAATAATTAATTAAGACTAGCTATAATTTTGGGCTTCGTATTTTGATATCATTTATTTTAAAATTTTTATTTGATTAAAGTAACAAATTTGGGTGCTTACCTAATATTTTATTGACAGAAATGTTGGTCCAGAAGATAATAAAATTTTTGCTGCAGTACAACGGCAGAAATTCTTGATAATTTGCAACAGAGGGTGTCCCAGATACAGGGGCGTAGCTAGAGGGGGGGCATCTGTCCCCGGGCGCAGAATCCAAGGGGCGCCAAACTGATATTACGACATTTTAGAATTAAATGTTTTCCATCCTTGGCAAGCAGTAGGGGGCACGAAATCTTCAGTTGTCCCTGTGCGCTGAAAACCCTAGCTAGGACTCAGCCCAGATAAAATATACCCAACCCAAACTGAACCGAAAAGTATCTTAATTTGATTTGTGTAGCTGCAGATAGTGAAATTGTATTTTTGTAGTAGTATTCCAAATAAGCCACAGTAAAATATGTAATGTTTATGTCCATGTTACATTTACTGTACTAATAATGCAAAGTTGGACTGAAATTCGATCATGGTAAATTTTATCTGGGGCACCATGTATGTTACTTGTAGCTTCATATCCGGAAAGTCGTACCATATGGTAGTAAAAGAAGAGTTGAACAAAATCTTTTATTTTCAAGATTTGTACCTTGGGCTATTGTTTCACATAAGCGCCCACGGCATTTAGTCACGTAGCAAAAAGTCCCCGTATATTTTCATCAAACGCTTTTCTCGCCATTTTATTGGGAAGTGCGATTAGTGTTTGCTGAAACTTTTCGTTGCAAGAATTACATCTCTATCCTTTTCGCCTAAAAAAAAAAAAAAACTTTTTTTACGATATTGTCTGGTGGCATATCATTGCATACATATATTGGCTTTGGAACCTTGGAGGGGTGGTTTGTGAACTCCGACCTGCAGTTCTGATCTCAGTTCTAAAAATTTTCGCTTTTTCATAAAATTTAAATAATTTTGGGGGGTGGAAAGTGCTTTTTTTTTTCTTTTCTCAAGAAAAGAAAAAATAATGAATTCGTAAAGTAATTCACATAAACATTTTTTCTAAAGGCAGTGTAAATAAACACGATGGATTGCAAATCGCATATTTTTTTTAAATAAAATGACATCGAATCTTGGAAGTTCATTCAATTAAAAAAAATTAAGAAACTCTTCTTAACCAGCTCATAAAATTTTGTTTCTAAGATGCTTGAAATATTAATATATAATCTCCAAAGTGTTTTTCAGACAAAATTTAAATGCAATTTAGGTAGAAAGTATCAGCGTGCTTTGCCTTAATTAAAAAGACCAAATAATTAAAACATGTATATTATGTTTAAGAACATTTTAAATACTGAGTGACTTTAAATAAGAAGATTTTCTTTCTTTGAAAACTTCTAAAATTTTTTGTTGCAAACAAAATGTTTTTCATTGCATATGTGGAAAAAGTAAAAAGAATTTAATTTGCTGCATTCTAAGCGAATGTAAGTAGACAAAAATCTGTTAAGAAATAAATATTTATAAATCTAATTAAAATGAAAATGAAGCAAAATAATTTTATTTTCAAATTTATTCTTGTGTGCTTGCTTTGCTTAAAACGTTGAGATTAAATATGCGCATGTATTTTTTTTAACAAAATTAAGGAAGAGATACATTACTGTCCATGTGCTAATAAAAGAGTAATCGACAAGGACCAAAGAATGATGTAATGATTAAATTAAAAATTGAGTTAATAGTAGTTTTGGAAAAAAATATCCTTTTAGCACTACACTAACATGGCACTGTAGTAGTAAGTTAAAGTCACAGAAGTTTGCGTCATTTCCGAAAATTTGTCCGTTAGAATATTAATTTATGATATAAAATAAATGCTGAGGTAAAATCGACTGTATATGCTGATGAATTTCAAAATGTCAATACACAGATATTTTACAGAAAAAAGTAAAAAGAATGAAGCATTACTTTTTATAACAAGTATAAGGGGTGTAATATACAGAATTTCATTATAGGTTGTATAAGTACATTAGTGATATATATGAACAATGGTACCAATTTTAGTGGTATATTTTCAATATTGAGAAAATTAAAGCAGGAATACGTGATCAGACATGAAGCATTACATCCAATCAAGCGGAAATTTATACATCCCACAGCGGCATGGTAGGCTGGATGGTGGGAGCGATTGATTCACTTCACCCAAAATTTGTTAGTTAGGATTTTAGGAAATTCATTGGTGAGTTATGAGGAATTGTTAACTGTCTTCTGTGATATAGAAAGCAGTCATTAACAATCGTCCTTTTATCCTTATTTCAGAAATGCTCTGCTTCACAATGATCTCAAGCTAGAGCCAATGGACGTCTACTTGCATAGACTCAATGATAAATTTTTCAAAAAAGGGCTCCTCACTGACGCAGGAAACTTTAGTGCCACACTGAATTACTGAATAGATCCGAAGGACTTTACCATCCGTCCATTTACTGCGCACAGATTGCGGGACCATAATTTAGTGACCTGAGCTGTTTCATCTCTCATGCATAATCGGCATGCGTTCTTGAATACATGAGCTTGCATTTGTTTATTTGTAGTATATATTGTCTGTAACATATTCCTGTATATACTTTTCATGTATCTGTTCATACGTTACTGAGTTTTCTGACCGTTCTAGTATTTCGCATGACACGTTTTCATCTTGACTGTCTCCCTCGCTAATTTACCTACTCCCATATGTCAGGTCTTTATTTGTGACTCCTTCAGGGACCATGGTCCGCTTTCCCCTTCTTTTTCTCCTTCATTGCATCCTCCCATTGTTGGAATTCATATGATTGCTTCCATGTGAAGTGCCCTCAGGGCGTTACATCAGCAGAGCTTTCGACAGCCAAGCTTTCTTGGCTAGTAAAGCATAAGCATTCAGCATTAAGCGTCCTTGTACCTATATCTCAGATGACACGGAAGACCTCCTTCCCCTGACTCCCTCATGTTTCTTCAAGACATGAAGGAAGTGAGAACACCATGTTTAGATCAAATAGATAGTAATAAATTACAAATAAGAGAGCGAAATTGCTAGGAACTAAAGCAACAGTTAAGAAACAGATTGCGAAAGTAGTTCAGAAAGCCATAGAAAGAAAATTTAATCTGAAGATTGGGAATATAGTCTTTATTAGTTCCGATAATAAAAACTTATTAATTTTGTCTATGGGAAGAGTAGAAAAGATTTTTCCGAGTAGAGATTATTCATCGTGGAATGATTCTTCGGTGAGACTGGTCCAAAAGCTTTGTCTCTTGGAGGTCCCAAGCAAAGGAGATCCAATCCTTTAAGTCAAACCGGAAAGAAGTCACTGTGGCAGACTTTTAAACATCCTAAAAAACTTTTCATAAACATTCATTCCGTGCGACCTTTTTGTCCGTTATATTTCTGTTTAGGGATTTTGTTTTCTGTGCGTATGCGTATATTTTAACTTTTATAGTATGTTTTAAACTGTATAATGTTTCATTTTACATTAAAATCAAAGGTGGGAATATGGTACTTTCTGCTCATGTACAATAATATTGATATCGCGTTTAGCATTTTTATTTTAGTTTAATATTTTGAAAATGATGTTTTTAAAATGTAACGTTATGGTTATATATTCGCTATACAGCCATATCACTTTAATTATTACTATTATTATTATTTTGCGTGTTTCTTAAATATATGTACTGTACTAGGTTAGCTATTTTATATTTCCGCGCCCCTGATTGAAGATTTGGCCTGTTCAGTTGATGAAGAAGAGTATTAGTGTGAAAATTAAAAACATTCAACCAAATTAGCAATGAGTTTGATGTAAACTGGTATAGAAAGAAGAGCAAGAGATCCAAATAACACAAATGGAGTTTGAATAATTCGAAGTGTATTCAATATTCTCTTTCTTGGGACTGAATTTATGTTTTAAGCAAAGTTACTGCGTATGATTTATTTTCAAAACACTGAATTTCTCAAATTATTACATATAAAACAATGGTAAGCATTTAAAATAGTAAAACTTATCAAAATTTTAGATTTTAGCACTTCAAATGCTTGGTGTATGTTACTCCCATCACACGATGCATATGCCGCAGTATACGTGTTGTAACTATCTTCCGTTCATAGTGCTAAATCAACGGTAAGGCTACCTCGGAATTCTGGTAGTGCATGATCATGTGTTTTGCCAATACGTTCAATCACAATTCAATTTTAGATTTGCTTTCATTTAACGAATTTGTTTATATTTAAATCTCAGAGACAGAGAGAGAATCTGTTGTTTGAACTTCAATATCTAATTGATTTACTTAATCATCGAGTAGATTAAGAGGTTATATTATCTCTTCGAAGCATTTTTAAATATTTTTTCGCCCTCCGGGGAAGAAGATATATGTGCGATTGCACCATTATCAAGTGTCATTTGTATTGTTTATGATATGCATTGTTTCATGCTCGGTAATCTTTGTTCACTGCAAATCACAAAGTGACCAAAAATAGAATAGCAGAGGATACTGATAACTTCCTTTGATGTTCTGCCTGGGAAAAGATATTTTCAGATAGCAACCAATATCAACAAGTAAAGGTAACAGAAAATTTTCAAGATAGCACAAAATCACTGCGTCATCATAAATATAGCAGTAAAAATAATTGCATAATATTTCAGAGGTAATGAACAAAACTTGTAACACACAAAAATTGAATGGAATATATCTGAATAAAATTAATTTTAATTAATCTGAAACAATAATAGTCGAAAAATGAATTTGTAGGCAGCGAACAATTACAAAATGCAATACCGGAAAATTTTCGGATGGAAAAAAACAGAAGGCTCATTAGCTGTTTCTCTCCATGTCATAAAAGTAATAAATTTGAATATAAACAACATGGATCATCATCGTTATTACTTACGTAAAGCGTTACCGTGTCATCACATACTATCGTACAGCTATATAGAATAGTAATAGATGTATGATATACGTAGAAATTATCTTAAATTTCTAAGAGATAAGAATTTTTTTGTTTTTCTTTTTCTGCATTAGGAAGTTACTGCATGATTCTTGTATACGTTGTGAATATCAACGTTTATGTTCCATCTAAATGAAAAGGTGTACAGATATCATGACATTAAAATCTGAATTTTTGGTTTCCAATGAATCACATATTACACCACGAATATAATATGTTTTATGAACTCATTACAAGTTATGGATTCAGTAGAAAATAACTTTGCAATATTTAATTTTTACGTTTCATTGCTTTCTCACTTACGAGAATAAATATCTCGAAGTTTACAATTAATTAGAAAGAACATAACTTTGGAAATACTATCTTCTCGTAGAATACAATAATTAACTTCTATGTATCAGCCGCAGTTTATGAGGTTTGGGTTTGTAAGTGATACCGAGTTCTGCTTCAAACGTCGGCTTCACTCCTTGCAGGAAAGCAACATCGAACTTTTGCAGAATGGACACGAAATAAAGAAATATTTCCATGTTAGCCATCGTTTCTCCTGGGCAAGCCCTTTTGCCTGGAAAAATAAAAATAATACAAAGTTATCATTTTTTTAAAGAACTAAAATGCGAAACTGAAGAAGTTAGATAGATAGTTGTCTAAAATATATCTTAATCCGTTCTGTCACAGTTATGTGAAAGACTAACGTTATATAGATCAACAGCCTAAATCCATTCTCTTTAAGAATATTTATAGTAGATTTCGATTTGTATTTGAAATAATATTATTTATTGATAAATGAAGCATTTAAACACAAGAATCTGTGAAATTTTAATGTGTTCTGAATCGTTAAAGAACCACCATTACTGACGCAAAAATAATTTCATTGCTAACAAATAACTTCCGTAATTAAGAAAAAAAGGCAAATATGTTATTTTTAAACATAAATAATTAGGTTTATTTTGCTATTAGCTCTTATTATTTTCGAACTAGAATATAAATGATTTGATGAAGATTAATATCGTAATCTCTTCAGACGACTTTTAATGGGTCTAAACTTTGATAAAAATTATTCTTGCTCACTTTTCCTGAGAGAGCAGATGTTACTATAAAGTACTTTTTGTAGATAAATATGCTCATCGTAGAGTTAAGATAGTAAGGAGAATACTATACGATTAGGTCTATTTTCATGCTGACAAATTCTTACATAAAAAAGTAGTTACATAATTAATGCAAGTATAAAAATAAATATAGGTATATGTAATGCATAATACCCAAACCCAAAGAAATGCCAAACTCGTGCATGCATTATACCATGTAATATAATCGAAAATTAGACGCAAGCTATTAGGTATAAAATCTTTTTTATGTAAGCTATCGAGCAGTGTTTCTAACTTACCGACGGAGAAAGGCATTAAATTTTTTGATTTGTTGACGGATTTTCCATCTGGTCCGAGAAACCTTTCCGGCTTGAAACTCTCCGGGTCATCCCAAACATCAGGGTCGTGATGCGCAGACCAGAAATCAGGATGAAATCAGGACTCTTGCAGGATATAATATTATATCCTGCAAGAGTCGTGTCAGCCAGTGTGCTTTTCATAGAGAAAGATACGAATATTATTGTAAGTATTTTTGCATTTTCTAGTACATCAAATTTATATCGAATAAATATCACAGTAGAAAAAAAAAAAAAAAAAAAGGGAAAAAATGAAAATCTGAAACCTTTCAATTTTTATATTACGTCTTCAAATTTTATATTACGTCTAAAAGGGCATTTTTTTAACGTTTTGTGTGTTACCTTGTAAGATCTACTTGTTTATCTTCTAATCCGACAACTGAAGTACGCGTAGGAACTACACAGGAGAAGGGTAAAAAGAATCCTTTATTAATTCTTTAAAATTCACAATGCGTCGACTTGACGCTAACACACTACGCGTCACTCGGGCGGTAACTCAAATAACAAGAACTACACTAAAAATTCGAAGATATTAACAAGCAGTAGAATTACTTTACTGCGCTCAGATAATCCTGTTACCTAAACCCGCATCGAAATCTAGTGGCAGCAAAGTAATAGCTGTTACGCCACGTTAACCAGCAATAAAGGCAGAACTAGAAGCTCACGCTACAAAAATACAGCGCTTTCCCTTCTAAAACTCAGTATTTAAACCTTTTCTCAAGGTAGAATTTGCATTACTTCACGTGCGCTACCAAATTTAAATAATCTGGCATTGACAATTAGGGGAATGAAGGTTTATAAGAAAGCTTAAAACTAAACTTAATTTGTTTGTTAAAATAAGTATAAATTCCTACAAAATAACTTAACCTAACCTAACCTACGGTTAATAGCGAGTGATGTCATTGCCTCAATATTTGAGCTAGTGTGGCTTGGATATTGGAGCATAAAAAGCTAATGAATTTTTAAGTACTTTTTGTTTGTATGAGTTCGTGTAAGAGAGAGAGTGAGAGAAGGAAAAAAATAGTGAGTATTTATATTTATAGGGTAATTTAAAAGGCTGAAAATCGTATCAGCTGAATTAAATTTTTTAATATGACAATGAGACAGACTTGTCGTATATATTTACATAATCAATGTCCTTGTTCGACCGATATTTCTGTACGATTAGTTATTTTAAATCGGTATTTGTACTACCTTAGTCTACTACTGAACGTAGAAGTTGATTAAAATCATCTGTCTGGCGATAATTCCCCTCGATCGGCTGATACAGATTTTAAAAATAGTATTGAGTTCATAAAATAAAAGGAATTTGTGTCGTTATGCACTAAATTTTATGAATGACTTCTGAGTACTATTTAATAGCGCAGGAAAATTCAGGTTCATTATCAGAATTCGTACTTCGTTTGCTTACTATCTCAAGAGATTGAGAGGTACTATCGTCTTCCAACGCATTACTTCTAAGAGCACTGCGTGAGTGTAAGGCATCTCTTTCTGAATATGAAATTCCGGACTTTTTTCGGACCCCAAAACATCCATGATCTCTCTCTGCACCTTTTTCTGTATTTTCGGATAAGCAGCCATGATATATAAACACCACGAAATGGAAGTCCGAACAGTATCGCTGCCAGCAGCAAACAAATCGGACACGCATCCTTTGAGAGAATCATCTGAAAGACAAAGTTCTTGTTATTTCAATAAAGAGATATGAAATATAAATTAATTGTTTAATTTGATTTGCCCCTTTTGTGTTCTTTCGAACTCAACCCATTCAAGAAGAATGATTAATTTCTATTTGAAAAGATCTATAGTTTATCAGGATAGCAAATAATAACTAACAATTGGTATTTGTCTCTCATCGAATATTTTTCTTACAATTCTCTGTATATTCCAGAGAACGCACTGTATGATTTAGCTCTCCGAGTGAATTTAACTGATTTAAAAAGCGTATTTGGAGTGATAAGTCAGTTTTTATTAATTTAAACCGCTAGGTTAGTGTTAGCTTGACTTAAAAGAGTTCTTTGGATTAATAGCCCTCTGCCGAATTGGTTGCTCCATCCGAAATGCATATTTTGTTGAAAACTGCCAAGATTTTGCGCTCATATGATTTTTGTCATACATGTCCCTCATATTCAAGAGACACAGGTCTTTCTTGAAAGAGTGTGATTAAACATGCAAACCAATTTCAGTTTGCTTTTTTTGCTTCATTTTAAATTTTACATTAGCGTGTTTCTTTTTTAGTTAGACTGTTGCAGATATTGATAGTTTGGTACATTCTGTCTGAAAATAGAATACGTAAATAACTTCGTGTCTCTTGAGCGCAAATTATGTTCGCTATAATCATTTATCGCGCCTGAATAAAATGAAAACATATTCCGCTTAACGCGAGTGTTTAATCAGTTAATGCAACTTTTCTATGTTACCCGAAAATGTGTTTTGGCGATCTACAAAAAAAAGTTTGTCTTACTGTTAAAATAAGTAAAATATTATTAGAGTAAGTTAGAAAAATAAGGAAGTATATTTCACTGAACAGGGATACTGTGTATATCTCGACATTCATGTATAAATGAATATTTCGATAAACTGCGAAAGCACTGTGTTCATTTTAGATGACAAGTTGGTTTTAGGTATTCAATTTACAAGAATTTTATTAGTGAAATTTGATATATTTTGCATTAAATTTCAAGATACTATAAACTTCCCTTTCCCGAAACATTCAATAAAAAATGAATCAATACAATAAGTACTGTAGGATATCTTTTGGTTAGGAGGAAAACTATCTTCTATCAGATTCTTTTGCCTACTATTTAACCTTAAACTTGAGACCTGGGATATGTTTGCGTTTCTATGAAACTTGATGCAGCTTTAATTTACTCAGTCAAATATTTGGACTTTAAATAAAATTTTCAATAGTTTCTTTTATTTGCTTTGATGACTTTGTTCTATAATGTAGATTATAATTTATTTTTCAATTTTTACTGACTGATGGATGTATTATAATTAGCCGTATAATTTAGTCTTCGCTTAGCGCGATTTTTCTTAGCTTGTACTAGTTGATCGATCGATTAATTACGTTAAGTGAGATTTTCCTGCAGGTAAAACAAGGTTTTGTGTACAGTTTTTCTGAATGGCATAGAATTTGTAGTTAAATAAGAAAATTTAGCGATATAACTTATACAATTTCGAGATGCAACGGTCTCCATTCTAAAAGATAAATTGTTAAGATAGCAAAGAATAAAAAAAAAAAAAAAAAAAAAGAGGAATTTAATAAAAATTATCAAGAAATATTTAATTTAACTGGAGTAAATTTTTAGTTGCGTACCTGAGAATGTTGTCTGAGGTTCTTTCGCTTTCCTTATTTCCATCTCAATGAGGTAACTGTCAATAAAATCACGGATGTCACTTGGGTCAAGCGTTTTCCTGTGATCCTCCATTTTCTTGCTGAAATTTGGAAGCATAGAATAGGGTATTTCACTTTGAAGACAAAAAATGTTTTCCACAGGAAAAATATTCAGGATTTTAAAATAACTCAGTATGTTTCGAAACATGTCTAGAGGAAACATTTAACACATTAAAACAGAAAAAAGGCACATGACTATTTAAAATATAAGGTAAATAATAGCATTTTTGTTAATTATTAATAGTCTTTAATAATTAATTTGTTAATGTTAATTAGAACAAAGTTTTATGCAGGGAAATTGTTTTGAAGTGCTAAAACGTCGCTTTTGCTTTCTTTTAGAAGACGCATTTAGCAACGTGTTTAAATTGATTGCTACTTTTTGTATTAAAAGTTAAAATAAGTCATTTAGAAGAGAGCAAATAATAAATTGAAAGAAAATATTGCCACGATTAAGCATGAAATTTAAATCCAGATTTTCCAAACCTTTGTTGTTGCGGTGAATGCCTGCATCAGAATCTGAAATATTAGACATGAAACTTGAAATGTTTGGTGGAAAGTAGGATTGGAAGTGTTTGGAATAGAATTTTCACCTCCTCCGAGAATAGCGAAGTGGAAATCATGTCATTCACGAGGTTCTACGCAGGTAAATTTCGAAGATTAGTTTGTTTAAACTAAGGATTTCTTGTTTTAAACGTTTTGCCCCTTAAAAACTACAGAAATCAATAACAAATATTCGTTGCATAACATTCATTCATTTATGTAAAATGTATTACTTTAATGTAATTAAAATAAATAGTGCATTGCATGGTGAATTCTCTTTAAAGTTGTAATTACATTAAAATGAATAAAAAATGATTATTTTTATATTTTCAATTCTTTCATCATCTCTGTAGATTTATTAATACGTACACTGGGAAAGAAAGAGGGACAGTTCGATATCTCCCGCTCTACTGGGCCGATTCTTGAAATTCATACAGCGTTTGTCATGTCTCGAAACCGCGACTTAGGATATGTATTAGATTTATATATAGCATTGCTCGGATATATGTATTTTGACACAATATCGGACTTTTTCTGAAATGACATACCAAATTTTTCCATATTTCGATTCTATTCCATATTCGATTCTTTCCGAAAGGATGATGTAATGAGTCGTGTTTAAATCACACATAGAAACTACAATGACGATTAGCTTGTCAGATCACTACTCACAATGAAAAATTTCCGTAATATGAAAGTTGGGTTTAGTAAGCTATCGAAAAGCCATTTTGCACTTTCTAATTTACGTATTATTTCTCACCATATTAGGTACGTATTGCTTCTCAGCATATCATTCAATTTCAGCAACTAATAGATTAAGCGAATGCTTCAAGAAAGAGAAAGCATCTGGAAATAAATTGGGCCAATTTAAAGGAAAGAGTGTTACTTAATAGCAAAAATAAGGTTTACTCTAGCTTTGACCAGATGGCTGAATACAAGCTTATCACAGAGCAATAAGTAGTTTCGAGACATGAAAAACGCAATTTGAATTTCGTCAATCGGCCAAGTATAAAACGAGATACAGAACTGTCTTTGACACTTCTATTTTTATCTGTTCTCCCTTGCTGCAAATAAAGTTATTTATATCTCTAAATATATTACGACTTTAAAGCAAAATAGTAGATTTTTTAATCTACGTTAAGAATTTAATAGAAAATTAAACAACCTCACAACCTCGGCGTGATTGACGCTACAAAAATCTTATTTTTCATGGTATAAATAATCGTTTCGAATTACTTAATACTCAAAATGCTTATAAATAAGAAAATTCCAAATTTAAACAACTTGAAATTTAATTCTATGGAATGAAATTATTCAAACAAGCATGTGATGACACACAAGCTTGTAGCCTTTAATAGTAGATAGAATGTGGTTTCAGAGTGAGATAAATTTTAAAGACAAGTTAAGCATTCTAAAAAGTATGTTGCAAGTCCATGTTTTTGAAAAAGCAAAAATATATTGCATCATTTTACTGGAAATGTCTCATTACATCATTGTGAATTGTGAAACATTTAGGCTCCCTTTAAATGGCCCAGAATGGGTTAGCATCTTCAATAATAAGGATTTGAGTGATATTTTGCTGAAATAGCCTTTTTATAAAACTTATTTCAATTTAAAGTTTAATGTTGCTTAATTTGAATTCAAATTAAAACTTTTTTTTTTTTTTTTTTTTGTTTTGTTTTGTTTCCATTGTTGAAAACCAAAGTATGACAGAATTAGTATATGCTCTTTTGATTTAAAACTCTTGTCGGTTATCATAGCGCTTTAATGTAAAAAACTGAGAAGAATTAATTGATATCTTACACGAAAATTTCATCCGCTTTCCTAAAAGATTCCACAGCGTCATCAACTTTTAACAACTTAAGTATGAACGGGAAATATCTGATCCATGGAAAAAATATATGAGATGCTGTCTGCCCCAAAACTTTTGCAACCTTGTCCAAACTGTCATCCAGTTGAACACGTTCGGGATCATCGTATTCGTATCGTTTGCCGAAGACGAGAGATGATATATTATTGGACATACTTGGAGTTAATGGGGCCATTAAATCCATTGGTTCACCCTTATGCTCGCTAAGAACTTCCAAGAAGTGGTTGATTTCTTCCTGTAGAAAACAAAATTAGATTAATATAAAATATTTTATAATAATATTATTTAAATGATATTAAAGCTATCGGTAATCAAATTTTTGAATATGCAACAGATGCCCACCAGCTTAAAATTTAACTAGTTTCATACCTCAACCTATAAGATCTCATCCTGAATTCCTTATTTTATTTCTGTCATTTACCTAGCCTCTGTGTCTGTCATGTAAATTTACACTGTCCTGAAACATAACGACACCTGACAGCATAGCTGAAAATTTATATTTGAAACAAATATTCTTAGTAAGTACTTACGGAATACACACTTAAACGAAATGACACTTAAAATGGTTTTGGAATTTGACGTAACAGAAATAAAAACTGTTTGCAATTTAGTATTCATGAGTCTTTATTTAAGTGCAGTTTCCTATCTCCGAAAGGATAATGTAATGAGTTGTGCTTAAATCACACATAAAAAAAACTACAATGACGATTAGCTTGTCAGATCACTCACAATGAAAAGTCATCTTAATGAAAATTTCCGTAATATGAAAGTTGGGTTTAGTAGGCTACCGAAAAGCTATTTTGCACTTTCTAATTTACGTATTATTTCTTAGCATATTAGGTACGTATTGCTTCTCAACATATTTAGGTCAGCATATCATTCAATTTCAGCAACTAATAGATTAAGCGAATGCTTCAAGAAAAAGAAAGCATCTGGAAATAAATTGGCCCAATTTAAAGGAAAGAGTGTTACTTAATAGCAAAAATAAGGTTTACTCTAGCTTTGACCAAATGGCTGAATGCAAGCTTATCACAGAGCAATAAGCAGTCACATTACCAGGTTGATTGAGCCATAATTATACGCTGCTTTAACTTTTATAGTCTTAAACGCGCAGTGTTTTTCTTTACACGAGTCAAATTTGCATATTTACTGTCTAAGTGAATAATTTGGGAAATAATAAGGTCGTAAAATGCAGAACAATATATAATCTCAGTGGTTATTTACAGGGGTAAAATAAACCTGAAACACTGCATCTAGTGCTGAAGTGAGTCTATCAGGGTCAATGTTCCTTCTAACCTTCTTCGGGAACATACAAGGACCTGACTCGGAACAGAGAGCTTACTAAAGCTATGTTCACCAATTGTGGTAAGTAGACAGGATACAGACGAAGGGTATACAAAACCCTTTATTTTTCTCTATGTACAATAACTTCCGTACTTCGGAATACACTGATCCGCCACTTGGGGTCTAACGTAAAAGTATAAAAATAAAACTAAACTCTAATTTAACTTTAGAATAATACACGTGGAAGATTGGCCTTATAATAACAGGAAGCGTATGTAGCACAGAGACTGTGAACACTACAATACGTTTAATTTATCAAGAGGATTAAAACCTCTGGCCTGGAAGGCAAACAGCAACTGCGTAACTTCTAAGGTAAGCGGCCTGCGTCAACACCTCCTTATAGAAGGAAGCCGGGACACTGAAGCGAGGGGAAGCTCTGACGTCACAGGTAGTCGTCTCTGACTCACCTCGCTCCTTCAAACAAAATCAAAGCCCCGTAGTTGAGCCAAGAGCGACGAACGTGGAGCGGTTATTTGCGTTAGCGACAGAGTTTTTATATTGTCTCGTGCTTTTATAATTTCATACGATGCCTCATAAATGTGCTGTAACCACATGTCGTGGTAATTATAAAAACGGACCAAAAGTGGCTGTATTCAAGTTTCCAAATGAGACTGAACTCCGGATGAAATGGATAAGGAGTCTATGAAGAAAAGATGGCTTTCAACCTACTAAACATACCACAGTAAGTTCAATTTTACTGCATTTTTTATGTTTTGTATCTTTAAATTTTTTTATTACTTTTATTGATAGGTATGTGATGTTTATGCTTACGATATTAGATTTTGATCTGTGGGGTAAGAAGTTTTATGTTTGAAAGATTTTAATCTTGCCTGTTTTAATCATTTCAAAAAAATATTTTCCTTCAAAGTTTTATGAATGAAATAAAGTTCCATATAACAGGAATAATTCTAAATTTAGTAGTTACATAAATGCCAATAATTTGTAAATGCTTTCTAGTATATTGTGCAGGCAGATTTTCTGTAGTTATTCCAAATTTATCATAATTTTATATGACAAGGAACTACCTAAGTAATCATAAATAGGTTTCATTTTAAAATTTTGTAATGATATATGAAAGTTTGGTATGATGTATTTAAGGTAATTAATTATTCCGTATTTGGTAACCAGTGTTTGTTATAACAATTTATCTCAAATATATAAATTTTCTTTAAATGTAAATAAAAGCTGTAATCATTAGGGATGAGCATTCCAGACATTTTACAAATTACTTAAAGAAATTATACACGTAATTGAAATGATATTACTGGTTTTTTAATTCGTATTTATGTATCGAAAATTATTTATTTAAATCATAGGGCTTATTGACTTCTGTTACTAAATATTAACATGCATCTAACTTTTTTACTCACAACAAGTTGATTTTTGAATATTTTCTTTTATAGGTATGTGAATTACATTTTTCGATCAGATGAAATAATACGAGAAATCGAAATGTATGATGAGAAATCAGCGAAAGTTAATTAAAGCCCCAATTTCTAGGCCACGTTTGAAAAAAGGATGCATACCTTCTCAGTTTCCCTGATGGGCCCATCCTACATGTCATCAAATTCTGTATCGAGAATGTCACCAGAAAAGAAGAAAGCTCGTTTAGAAGAGAAATACCTGGAAGAAAGCGATAGAAGAAAGTTTGAAAATGAAAGAAACGGTATGATAATGAACGATCATTTGAAAGTTTAATTTAATTCAATAATTGCCTAGAACATCAGATTTTAGAAACATTTTGGGCGACAACTGTACATACTGAAAATTCAACTATGTTAACTTGATATTTTAAGTGACCCAGCTCCAGAAATCAGAAATCGGTAGTAATAAATGAGGATTAACAGTATGTGTTTATATTAAAAACATCGCTATAAAATCTATTGGTAAATTTGTTTTCCCTCTAAAAATTAGTAATGTAAATATGTTTCTAGAAGTACTAAAGGAAGTTGAAAGTCTGTCTCATAACTTACAAAATGAAGAATATATTAAGAATTCTATACAAATTGTGGATGATATGCTTTCAGAATTGAAAAGAGTGTTACCTGAAAAAGAAACTGAACTGAACTGAACTTCCTTTCAGAGCAAGTAAATAAACTAAATGTAAAGAAAGAGAAGTATCGATATACTCCAGATTTACTTATTTTTTGCAGTTTGTTAAACTCGATCTCACCGCATGCATACAAGTTTTTACGACATTCAGGTTACATTTCTATTCCCCATCCACGTACTATTCGTTAGAATTTGTTCAACGTTTTCTCTTAATCCTATTACTGAGCAATTTAATGATGACTTTTTAGGATATGTTAAACAAAGATGCAAGGATTTAGAAGAAAATGATGTAAAACTGTAATTATTATGATGGATGAAGTGCATTTAAATTCATGTTTCGATTTTAAAGGAGGAAATTTGTGTGGCATGGCCTACAACTGTGAAAAAGCTGCTACAAGTGCTTATGTTTTTACGATACGTAGCTTATTATCACCTTTCAAGGATGTGGCACATATATTACCAGTTAAATCATTAAATGCTGAGGATCTGTATCAATATCTTAAGAAAATTATAATTGGTTTAGAAAATATAGGTATAGAATTGTGGCAGTTGTCTCTGACAATAATTCAATAAATAAAAAGCCATGTCATTATTTTGTATGCCTCCAAAAATTAGTATTGTGTATAAAAACCCTGCAGACTTATCTCGGCCACTATTTTTTGTTATTGACTCAGTGCACATCTTGAAGTGTGTCAGGAACAACTGGATAAATCAAAAAACTTCTGGGCAATGTTTATTTTATCCAAATTTTGAAAATTTTTCCAAGGTCGAAACAGCGGCATTTGCATGCATAAAAAGTCTCCATTCATTAGAGGAGGCAGGCAGAATTGTAAAATATAGTTATGGTTTGACTGTGTGAAAGCTCTGTATCCAACCAATTTGGAAAGACAAAATGTCAAGCTAGCATTACAAATATTTGACAGTCGTCTTGCAGAGGCAATAATGGTTATTGGTAAAGAAAATAGTATTTTAAATTACGAAACAACAGCTTGAATTATTAAAATTATATCTACATGGTGGTCAATAGTCAATGTCAAAAGTATCTTTAAAGGACACCATAAGATGAATGAGTATCAAAGCCGTTTTAACTGTGCAAAATGATGATGTTAGATATATTTTATTTAAATAAGTTACTTGAGTGGTTAGATCAGTGGAAACTTTTAGGCTGTTCTAGTGGTGGACTAACTAAGGAAACACATTTTGCATTAACACATACTAGCTGTTGAAAAAATATTTTGCCATCTAACAGTTACTGTTATACATTATTGTGAATTCCTTATTAGTTTGTTTTCTACTCATGTATGCTGTCTGTTTAACCTTGAGGATCACTTGAAAAGTAATAGTAACGAAAAATTCATTTCTATGCATCTATGTAAAAATAAAATGTCTGGGTTGTATTTTAAGTGGTCTCTTATTATTAATGTGGATATCAAATTAGTATTAACATATGGTAAGATTCTTTATCATTTTAATTGACTTGAAATATTGAAAAATTCATTTCCTTGCCCCTTAATTGTTGTGTAAAAAAGTGTCTGCGTTATGTTTTTTATGTGGCCACTACTTTTATCATTTGGGTATAATTTTGGTGTTAACATGATAAAATACTTTATCAAAGTAACAGTTATATGTTTCAAAATGCTTACAAAATGTTATGTATATAATAACTGCCACTGTTATACTGGTAATGGGTCATTATACTTTGTTGATATGGACAGATATTGACTGTTTTACATTCAGACTTGACTTGAAAAAATATTGAAGAAGGCATTGTCCTTTTTTTAATTTGTCATCGCGTAAAAAAGTGTCTCGGTTTGTGTTTTAGTGCGGCCACTACTTTTA